CAGTGTTGGCTTACCCATGCGAATATACAACATTTCATTAACAAGGCAATCAAATTTGCCGTTACATTTCGCGATGACGTTGAATTGCTCGATCAAGCGTTCAGGCATTTCACTATTGTGCTGGAGGTGGTAGTGGACATTTCACACCTACTTTTGCCAAGATCGACAAAGATAGGCGTGCTAAGTGGAAGAAATCATCTGCTTCCTTTACAAAGAACGTGATCGCGGAGGAGCTCAGAGTAAGAATACAGGAGAGTATGGTACTTCGAGAGGAAATCAATGGCATCTATGATGAAATCCGTCAGACCTGTTCACTATTCCGCTATATGTGCATCTTACGAACCATCACTATGCTTCGGAATAAACTCCAACTTGAAGTTACGAACACTCACACTCGAAAGATCTCAAGGCTTCTCTACAGAGAAACTGACGTCGACGAACACATCCTGAATATTTCCTCTTACGAACTATCGTTCTTCCAAAAATTGGTTCTCTGTCGTGGCCTGAAATTTGCGATCCCACAAAGAGTGTCTCCAGTTGAGATCAAGGCAAGCTTCGAGAAAGCATACTGGAACCTTGAACGGCATCTACCAAACGAGAATTCACGCGAACTAGCAGCCGCAACCTTACGATCTGTTGCGCTAGAGTATATTAATAAGAGTAGCCCAAAACCTCCTTCTTGCAAGCTATTGAAGATCTGAAAAAACGCGATGACAGCGTTGTCACAAAACCGGATAAAGGGTCTGGTGTTGTTGTTATGGATAAATCAGAATATCTTCGCCTACTATCCGAAGCGTCAATAAACGATACCAGCAAATTCCGATTCGTCGACTCGGAGAGACCGAGAACCAGAGGACGACCTCCTAAGTATTACCACCCTCTCCTTCAGAAAGAAAGGGAGTTGGAAACTCTTGTTCGAAAGATTCTACCGAAATCCATTGCTGACGCTCTCCGCCCGAAAGGGTCCAGACTCGCACACTTGTATGGCTTGCCGAAGACACATAAAGAACAGTTGGCCGTGCGGCCAATACTCTCTGCTACTAACACCTACAATTACTCGCTAGCGAAATGGCTTGACGACAAATTGAAACCCCTGTCGTGCAACCAACATACAGTGACAGACACATTCCGCTTTGCTGATGAAGTACGAGGCTTCGAGATCAAGAACGGCGAAATTTTAGTTTCCTATGACGTCACCTCATTGTTTACAAATGTACCATTGGAGGAAACAATACAGATCTTAGCTGAAAAAGCCTTTGCCCAGGATTGGTTCAACGAGACGCACAGCTTGAACATCTCTAAAGCGGACCTAATCGACCTCCTCCGAGCAGCTACGAAAAACCAGCTTTTCCAGTTTGACGGTGCTTTATATGAGCAGATAGATGGAGTCGCTATGGGTTCTCCCCTTGGACCGTTGCTGGCTAACGTCTTCATGTGCTCGATTGAGGAAAACCTCGAACAACACGGTCAACTTCCGCGCTATTACCGGAGGTACGTCGATGACACCCTGACCGTAATGCCTGATAGGGTGACCGCTGGCCAGTTTCTAGACACCCTTAACTCTACCCATCCCTCCCTCCAGTTTACCATGGAAGTCGAACGGGAAGGATCCCTTCCCTTTCTAGGAACTGAACTGCTTAACCGTGCACCAAAGATTGAGAGCAAGGTCTACATCAAAAGAACCAACACGGGTCTCCTTCTGCATTTCCAGAGTCATGTTGACATTAAGTACAAGCGCAGCCTAGTTAACACCATGGTGGATCGCGCTTATCGATTATCTTCTAACTGGTCTTTCTTCTCCGAGGAATGTGACCGCCTTAGAGGGGTTTTTCATAACTTGAAATACCCAAAGCCACTGGTTGAAACTACAATCAAGCGGTTCGTTGAGAGAAGGATTTCATCTGCAGAGCCCTGTCCATCACCAGACGTACCGGAGATTGTGAGATTAGTGTTACCCTTCAAGGACCAGTCGTCAGCTAATCATGTTAAACAACAACTGAACAGTCTAAGCTCGAAGTTAAGCGTGACTGTCCAACCAGTGTTCGTTAGCCCTAAGCTCGATCAACAGCTTAAGCAACACGAAATTAAGCCCCCTATTGTTAACCAACAATGTATCGTTTATGAATTTAAATGTAACCTGTGTGATGCAGGGTATGTGGGCTATACTCGTGGTCACTTACACGAGCGCGTAGAAGGGCACACAAGGAAATCATCTTCTATCTACAAACACTACCACCTCCAGCACAATAGTGAAATGCCTGAACGCTTGATCGAGCAATTCAACGTCATCGCGAAATGTAACGGCAAATTTGATTGCCTTGTTAATGAAATGTTGTATATTCGCATGGGTAAGCCAACACTGAACGTGCAAACGGATTCCATCCGCGCCAAGGTGTTTGTTTAAGCCGTTCATTCTAATTTATGCTATTCTTGTACCTTTCCTTATTTGCATGTTTTTAAACTAGTCTCTTGATAATGGAGTCACGATGACCCCGAAACGTCGAGTAATAAATCTTTCCTGGTTTTTTCTAAGAGTTTTATTTGGTTAATTTTTTGTATATTAGAGACTTTCAATAGTTAGTTTTGTTACAAAAAGACTTTCTAAAAAAATTCCACGCCCACAAGCATGAATGCCTCAATCAGGTGGCTGCTACGCTTTTCTTTGACAAAAGTGTGATTACCAATGCACTGAAATAATCACAGAAAAATATAAATGACATAGAATAAATAGGTGATTAAATAAGCTAGTACTGAACATATTGTTTTTCACTTAAAAGTTAAGAAATTAATGAAATATCCAAAAGAACACTTACGTCGAGCTAATATTTCCATGAGAACGTTTCGTACATTGAGAGAAAAGAAAACAATCTCAAATTATGTAGTAACCAGGATTTGTTTATTGCATTTGCAGTTGAAAAAACAGAAACAATAGCAACAACAAACAACTGAGTAACTTTAAAAAAACTGAAATGGAAACTGAAGAAAAACATACTACATTGTCAGTAGAAACATAAGTAAGAACAAGCCTAATTCTGCCTATTCGGTCTATGTTATAGTTATTGTTGTTAATTATTCGATTTATTATTAAATAAAGGAAAATATAGAGATAGAGAGAGAAGGCGAAGAGACAGCTCTCAATATTTGTTTGTATCTCGACCTGATTACTACAGCACAACTTGAATAGTTAACCATTAGCCTACAGGAAAGGTGACTGCAGTATTAGGACAACAGTGACAGCGATAACAGACTTACGGCACTGCTGTTCATCTGAATTATCACCACAGTTACTTTTCCCATCGCAACGTTTGTATTTAGCAAGACAATCTCCATTTGCACAAGTGAACTCGTAGTTTGCACACTTTCCTGTATGATAATACAAATTATTTCAATTCAAAGACATAAAATATTGAGCCTGTGTATGTAAGAAAAGGGAGAAAACAAACAAAACCTGAAATAATCCAAACAACTTAGACATACTTCTTAGCTCTCGAGTCAAATATAGAGGTTGTGCGTTTGCCTCAAAATTCTCCTCTGCTAAATATGTTTGAACCGATAAGCACACAAACGAGCAACTCGCAAGCTCTTGCTACCACAGATTCCCTTGGTAAATTTTAATCCCTGTCGTCTTCAGAAAGGAGAAAGCTGCCGCTGACCCTTGGTCTCTCTGTGTCATTTTTTTCTTCTTTTGACTTTTACACTGATTTTGAAAAAAGGAAGAGACGAGGACTCGGCATTATACTATTTTTGATATCATGAATATCCGTGAATTTCAGCTGTCTTGACGGAAAGGCTTTGTAAATATATATGGAACAAAAATAAACTGAAATCGATGAACATGTTTGATTAGTTTCTTTCCTCCATATCTCATACAGCCTCCCTATCAAGCAGGAGGTGACCAGCTAACTTTGGTTTTTGTTCCGCTTTTGTTGTTTCAATCCGCCCCTTGAAATCATTTTTTAATACTTCAAAGATCCTCAACCTTAGATTTTCTATTGATAGTTACATGTAAATCAAATAAATACAAGCGATGTGTTCAAAATATGCCATTCCTTTAATGTGGTTATCTGAGCAATATTACAAGGAGACGACACAAAGATAGATTTAGATTTATGATACTTACGGCCAGCTGATTGGCGCAGGTAAAACATGAAAGAAAAGGAAAAGTTACTCAATTGGTCTATTAGTATCATTACAATACTATTAAGCTCTATGAAATTTTGGTTATGGCGCACTGGCGACAAAAGTTTACGTGTAAAAGAAAAATTTGTTCGTAAGCTCTACATTAGCAATTTAATATCCCCTGTGTTGCGACCGTTCGCGTTTTCACCTTTTCGCGGTCAGTTAATACAGTCAATTAAGGCAATGCCGATGGGTGCATGACTATATTTCTAGAAAAGCTTTTTTCAAATTAATATGCTAACGCTTGGAGAACTCAATATACTCGAGAAATCTCGAAGTGTTCATTCACTGCATGCATGCGTAATAATGGTTGCTTTAAAAATTTATCATATAGAGCATTTTACGTTGCAAAGTACAAATCATCATTTCTGGTCTCCCAATTAATGCATTTGATTTTTTCCAACGGTAAGATACAAAAGGAATTCATCTCGTATATGAAATCGCCGCTATCTCATTCAACTAGTTGCGGTTTATTTCGTTCGATTTTAAAGTCACTTTGGCCATCACAAGAATCGTCTTCATGCCATTAAAGTTCTTAATCTAAAGATGGCCCAATGTGACGGCATTCAACCAATAGCCAGTTCAGTTTTGTAAAACTACCTCTGCATATGATTTACGTCACAGCTTTATTTCGCTGTCTTGGAGGTGTTCTTGCAAATGAGGGGTTCTTGGAAAATATAGCTTTTTTTCTATATTTTTGAAAAGAGAGTTAGCCTTCCAATTTAATATTACTTTTTGAGAATAGCATTTTTACGCTAAGCCCATATAAAGAATAAGAAGATGTACAGAAGTAGAAGTTACCTATCAACCACAGTACTTACTGCATTGTTCGTCTGATCCATCACTACAGTCAGTGTCCCCATCGCAGCGGTAAGACGCGTAGATACACTCTTGTTGATTTGCACAAGCAATCTTATCGCCTCGACAAGTTACTAGCAGATGATTAAAAGAAACGCATGAACCGTGACAAAACGTTGGCACTTCTTGTACATTTTTTACCAAAAATATATAATGAATATTAAGGGCTACTTCACGACTTGAGCAGCTTACTTTTAGTGATTGATCTTTTGTGATTGACATTTTGCAGTGACTTTTCATCAAAGACAAAGTTTGATAACCATCAACGTCCACTTTATATTTTTTCAGTTTATCGTTATGATTTTATCGAATTCTGTATTTAATAACCTATTCGTCGATTCATAGTTTCTGAAAGTTTACTTAAAAACAGCCCGTGCGAATTTTTTCTCCGGAAGGCGCCTAAGAAGGTCTGACTCTGTCCCGAGAAGTACAATTTCTTGATGGCAACAAACTCCTGAGGTTAGTTTCCCTTTGTTCTCGATGAGAGATAAAGCGTTCCAATTTACTGAAACTCTCAGGAAACGATTGGAGTGCAAATTGCCTACATCTCCAAGGTCTCCTTCAGATACAGAAAAGCCTTTTCAGAATAGGGTTGGAATTTGTAATGCGTCTATCATGCTAAACTTCTTTTGGTTATAAGGTTTCATAGGGAATTACTCGGTTGACTAGAAGTTAAATATTACAAAATGGCAGTAGCAACATACCTGCAGATGTGCAGGGGACGGCTACCAGCATGAGTAGTAGAACAACCTGGGGATTCATGACAATCTTTGTGGAAACAAAAAAAAGGTAAAAAATAATCAAAATCGAATGTAATGAGTCAAATCGTTCCTTTTTTGGTAGGAAAGTAAGCAATCCGCTGATTGTTGTGCTGCCTAGTTAAGTTCACCCACCGATAAAGGAACAATAGGCAGTCTGCGACTGCATGTGGCTACTGATAAAGCTACTGATACAGCACAGTGACCAATTGACTTTCAACCAATAATTCAAAGGTAACAAATAATCATATAAATAATAACTATGATAGCAATAGTAATAATAATTCATAGAGGGCTAGCTCGAAAACCTAACGGTTCCTCCAGCCTCTAGGCTCCAAAATGATACAACTATGTTTATTTTTCCTGTTCATTATAATCAATTTTCTTATTTCACTGTAATTCCATTTTTGTGAGAAATAAAGACTTGTTGTTGTTGTTGTTGTTGTTGTTGTTGTAGTAATTATAATAATGATAATGATGATGATGATGATGCTACTATGGTCACAAGCTATTGAGAAACGATCGAAATTGCGTTTGAAAACTTGTTGTGCAATTTGATATTTCACCATTAGAACTTGAAATGAAGATTTTATGTTGACATTAGCAGCAATGAAATGTTCTGATATACACAGTGCAGCTCAAAGATAAGGGGACATTGTATAGAAGTACCATGCGCACGTATCAAGCGACATACGTCGACATACTCGCATAAATACGTGTATGTCCTTCTCGTATGGGCCTTTGTTATTCATTGCTCTACCTGTGCTTTGAGTGGCACTGAGTTGTAGAAAAAAGAGATGGTACTGTGAAAGCGCCGGCTGCTAGCATGAAATGGGCAAAGTAATTATGAAAACGTCCATGAGAGTTATCGTGTTAGATATGTCTGTCTTATGATAAAAATATGACTGTTCTTTTTCTTTTTTTTTTCGGTATTTTATTTTGTTGTATTGTAATTTCTGGTCACTTACACCTGTATAATAATATTGTGGCATTTCTAATAAACTTGTAAGGGAGCAAAAAAAACGAACACTTTACCTTTCTTGCACTTGGCAGTGATCTGACTCAAAACGCTTGTACAATCTGAAAAAGTAAAACATAATCAATTAAGAAATTGGAGTTCGTATCAAACTGAGAAAACTAAAGAATAGAAATTTCATTATTCATAAATACATTTTGATTAACTATGTTACTTGTTCGTCACACCATTCCTGAAGCCACTTGAAGTGACTTCTGAATAGGCAAACTTAACGAGGATTTATCACCAATCTGCTCCTTACAGATACTCATTCCAACACGGTAAAAGAGACTGAATTCGACAAAAACCGAGACTTCTTGATATAAAATTTGATAGAGCACAGTTCAGCATCAAAAGTTCAACGCGTTTCAAATGAGCAATTACTTTCGATGCAAGGTGTTTTAGAGAGAAACCCTCCGAGAAAATAGATAGTTACTCGCGGGAAAAAGAACATTCTCTTGGGATAGAAAAGAAAATGATAATAGTATATACCATAATGATGACGATGATACTTGTAATAGTAAAAAAAAGAAATAAATACCAGTCATAATAAAAATACGAATAACGATAATCTATGGATGGATAAATTTTCACATAGCCTTAATGTTCTCTAAAACGAAGATCTGATCGGCAAATTAGCATATTATTCTTTCAGATGAACACAAATTAAAACCATGACAACATCATTCTTTTAAATCAGCCAATCAAGTGACAGACTCTTGAAGCATGCAGCCATCTGGGGACAAATAAACATAAAGTTTTTTTTTTTTAAACCAATAGCTCTCAAATTCCGCGGAACCCGGAGGTTCGAGTTTCGACTCCTTGTGGGAACTCAAGAAAAACGTTTTTCTTTAATAAATAACCAATAGCTGTTTTGATACAGTCCTTTTGCGAAATTTTGAAATTTAAGCTCTTCCACAAGTTTCTTAACGTTTTTTTAAATTTATTATTATTATTTTATTATTATCATTTGTCACGTTTTTGCTTTTCAATTTTGTTGTTTCGTTTGGTTTGTTTCGTCTTCTTTTCATTTGTAATAATTATTTTCAATTATCACCATCCTTTTATCTTTTATTTTTTTAAGTTATCAGCAGTCAGCGTTTTCTCGAGAACGAGAGACCAAGAGCAAATAATGCAAATTAACCAAAATACATAACAGTTAATTTAACCGACAGGTGCTGCAAAGAAAAATGTCCAACATGATATTTTTTTTTTTTTCATATTCTAGCTCACGGTGTGTTTCCCATCCATTGATAACAATAAGATGTACTACCTCAGAATTGCATGATCTCTCCCACGGGTTATTCTTCACTTCATTTTTTTGTTTTGTTTTGTTTTCTTCCCATTTAATGTACGATTTTAAAACAAAATACTTAAGCAGTTTTTCCTTTTTTCGTAAAGAGGAAAACGGGCAAATATGCGAATATAATTCAGCTATAACAACCACCTAGATTTAGAACTATATAAGCAAAGCTTATTTCACAAACATTTTATCATAGATAAAGCATACAGAAGCAAAGTATTGGCCCAAAAACGCTTAATAAACCAAGATAATGGTAAGCATAAGGTTTAAAATAATTATTTAACAACGGAACTGAAACAATGGAGATAATGATCATCGGCGATGATTAATTATGGACGGCACATCATCGGCAGGTAAAAAATACCTTTCTCTAAGGAGTCTCTCTGAGAATGAATAGTGTTACGGTATAATCTAACCGACAGAAAAATACTGCAATCCTACTACTTCATTAAACAACGACTAATAAACTAAATAAGGGGCGACTCCTGAAGGCAGTTCAATAATTATCCTCGATTAACTTACCTAAGCCCACTACAGTCTATATCTTAGTTCACCACTGAGCCAAACTCACATTTTCCGCCAACGTTTCATGAAATTAGCAATCTTCCACCAGAGCTCCCTCTCAAGGTATAGCTTTCTTCGCAGTCGATCACTCCCGACAATAACAACAACTACTTCTACATAAATGAGTTCTTATATACATTCACAAAGTGTTCTGGAACATGCCAGAAGCTTACAAAGAGCTATTTTAGTAGTATTACGTAATAACTGCGTCATCAACTTATCAACTGCGTCACTTGATGTCAGCATGAATAAGCAGTCTGGAGATTTCTAGAAGCTTATATTTACAACAACAATTACTCATTACAATAGATTCTGACGAACAAAGTCGAAATTCTCTAAATATAAATATTCCTTCCGTGATGACAAAAACCGAAAAAAGAAAGAAGGTGCCGTTAACTTTGCATAAAGATATATTTCTGAATCCAAAAATCATTCTCTTTAAACGTTGATGACTTCACCTCAAATCGCGCCAGTAAGAGGGCAAGAAAATTAGGAGCTTGCAACCATCTGGAGAATGCAATTAACTTCTGAATAAACGGGTTCCTATAATTAGAAATTTATTATCACTTGATTCCGTAATGATACTCAATCCAACACGTTCGAAAATTCAGATCGAGAGTAATTGAGGCCAGACTGCTGGGTATGAACGTTCAAGGCGTTTCAAATGAGCAAACACCTTTGACGCTGAATATTTCTGAGGAGTAACCCTCCGTAAAAAATAGATAGTTATCAGAAAGGTAAACACTGTTCTGTTGGGATAGAAATGGCGAGAATGACAATAACAATTGCAACACTGAAGATCATGATACAAGTAAATAATAAAAATACTAATAGCCATACCAATAAAATGAATAATGATAATCTATAGATGGGTAAATTCTCATGTAGCTTTAATGTTTTCGAATACCGTTGATGATCGGCAAATTAGCATAATATTCTTCCTGTTGATCATAGATCAGAATCATGACATCATCATTCTTTTGAATCAGCCAATCAAGTGAAAGATCCTTGAGGCTTGAAGCTATCTGGTGACAAATAATTTCCTTTTGCTTTTTCTTTCTTCGTTTGTTTTTTGTTTTTGTTTTTCGTTTTAGTTTGGTCTCCTTTTGTTTTCCAAGTGTGTATTGATTCGTCTTGCTTTTTTCTATAACGTTTTTGTTTCAGTTTTTGACAGTTATCAGTAATTGGCAAATGTTTATTTGCGATCAGGCGGCCGACAAAAAATTTAAATTTTAACGCCCACAATGCAAATGAACCAAAATACATAAGTAGTTCACTCCACCGACAGGTGCCGAGAAGAAAAATGTCCAACATATATAGTCTCCTATAAATATGAATATTAAGGCACTGTTTGTTTCCACACCTTGGAGATAAAAAGGGGCACCACGGGATTGAAAAATGTTCCTTATTTTATTTTCACTTTCTTTTCTTGATGTACTGTCTTTTAAGACAAAAATGCTTCCTTTGTTTCTATTTTTTTTCAAGAAGAGAATCGCGTGAGCGTGCGGATGTAATATGTTGGCTGGCTTACTCTTAGGAAGGATAATAGGCAAACAGGGGTGGGCTGGGGGGAGGTTAAACCTTTAACTTTCAAGATCTGATTGTTAATTCTCCCCTCTTTGTGCTGCACATTTGCTTTTTAATTGGATACAAGAATTTGATGTTAGATCAAGATAACAACCTCTACCTGATGAGTTTGAATATTCTCATTACCTGTCTGCTGAATAATGTATGGATATCATAGGAAGAAGATTCATAGTGATCACCACTGGGAGTGAAAGGCTAACCAATCCCACTTCCCCTGAGAACAATTTTTAAAAGGAATAATAATAATAATGAAAAGATAAGAAAAACAACATCTCTGCAATAAACTTAATCTAAAAGCCCACCGAGTGACGCATAGCGACCACTTAGATCTAGAACTGTACAGGCAAAGCTTATTTAACAAGCACTTTATCAGAGATAAAACATACAGAAGCAAAGTACTCTAAAAATATGTTGGCCCAAAAATGCTTAATATACCAAGATAATGGTAATAATAAGCTTTAAAATAATTGTTTAACAACGAAATCGAAATAGTGGAGATAATGATCATGGGCGATGATTAATTATGGACGGCACATCATCAGCAGGTAACAACTGAATTATATATAGAATAACCATGTTTTCAATGTTCCAAACGGTACAAAAATAGCCAAAAAAAATACCTTTCTCTAAGGAGTCTCTCTGAGAATGAATAGTATTACCGTATAATCTTACCGACAGAAAAATACTGCAGTCCTACTCAACTACTTTATTAAACAACGACTAATAAACTTAATAAGGGTGACTCCTGACTGAGGCAGTTCAATAATTATCCTCGATAAACTTACTTAAGCCCACTACAGTCTATACCTTAGTTCGCTACTGAGCCAAACTCATATTTTCCTCCAACGTTTCTTGAAATTAGCAATCTTCCACCATAGCTCTCTCTCAAGGTGTAGCTTCTTTCACAGTCGGTCACTCCCGACAATAACAACAACTTCCACCACATAAATGAGTCCTTACATACGTTCACAAAGTGTTCTGGAACATTCCAGAGGCTTAAAAAAGAACTATTTTAGTAGTGTTACGTAATAAATGCGTCATCAACTGCTTCGCTTGATGTCAGCATGAATAAGCAGTCTGGAGATTTCTAGAAGCTTATATTTTCAACAACAATTACCCATAACAATAGATTTTTGCCGAACAAGGTCGAAAGTCGCTACCTATAAATATTCCTTTCGCGATGACAAAAACCGAAAAAAGGAAGAAGGTGCCGTTAACTTTGCATAAAGATGTATTTCTGAATCCAAGAATCATTCTCTCTCTTAAAATTCGGAGCTTGCAACCATCTGGAGAATTCAATTAACTTCTGAATAAACGGGTTCCTATAATTAGAAATTTATTATCACTTGGTTCCATATTGATACTCAATCCAACACGTTCGAAAATTTAGATCGAGAGTAATTGAGGCATCTTATGTTTATTATGAATTTTTTTTATAAGACTGTTGAGCATGAAACGTTCGAGGCGTTTCAAATGAGCAAACACCTTTGACGCTGAATAATTCTGAGGAGAAACCCTCCGTAAAAACATAGATAGTTATCAGATAGGTAAACACTGTTCTGTTGGGATAGAAATGGCGAGAATGACAATAACAATTGCAATAATGAAGTTGATGATACATGTAAATAATAAAAATACTAATAACCATACTGATAAAATGAATAATGATAATCTGTAGATGGGTAAATTCTCGTGTAGCTTTAATGTTTTGGAACACCGTTGCTGATCGGCAAATTAGCATGATATTCTTCCTGTTGATCAAAGATTAGAATCATGACATCATCATTGTTTTGAATCAGCCAATCAAGTGAGAGATCCTTGAAGCTTGAAGCCATCTGGTTACAGATAACAAAGTTTAGTGACGTCATCAGACTGTTTCAACCGTCAGCTGTCAAGACATTATCCCATTTCCAACAGTTTCTAATTTCCTTTTGCTTTTTCTTTCTTCGTTTTCGTTTCTTGTTTTAGTTTAGTCTCCTTTTGCTTTTGCAAGTGTATATTGATTCGTCTTGCTTTTTTCTATAACGTTTTTGTATATTTTTTGACAATTATCAGTAATTGGCAAGCGTTTATTTGCGATCAAGCGGCCGACAAAAAATTTAAATTTTAACGCCCAAAATGCAAATGAGCCAAAATAGATAAAAAGTTCACTCCACCGACAGGCGCCGAGAAGAAAAATGTCCAACATATATAGTCTCCTATAAATATGTGTACTAAGGCACTGTTTGTTTCTACACCTTGGAGATAAAAAGGGACACCGCAGGATTGAAAAATGTCTCTTATTTTATTTTCACTTTTTTTTCATTGTTTCTATTTTCTTATGATGTACTGTGTTTTAAGACAAAAATGCTTCCTTCGTTTCTATTTTTTTTTCAAGAAGAGAATCGCGTGAGCGTGCGGATGTTATATGTTGGCTGGCTTACTCTCAGGAAAGATAATAGGCAAACAGGGGTGGGCTGGGGGGAGTTTGAACCTTTAACTTTCAAGATCTGATTGTTAATTCTCCCCTCTTTGTGCTACACATTTGCTTTTTAATTGGATACAAGAATTTGATGTTAGATCAAGATAACAACCTCTACCTGATAAGTTTGAATATTCTCATTACCTGTCTGCTGAATAATGTATGGATATCATAGGAAGAAGATTCATAGTGATCACCACTGGGAGTGAAAGGCTAACCAATCCCACTTCCCCTGAGAACAATTTTTAAAAGGAATAATAATTATGAAAAGATAAGAAAAACAATATCTCTTGGCGATAAGTTTAATCTAAACGCCCACCGAGTGACGCATGTCGATGGTTTACGGAACATCTTGCAAAGATAGAAAAACACTCAGTTGAAGAAACACTGGATTAGTAGAAAGGCTCGCACATATGGAATAATGTAATAGATAACTTTAGGGAAAAATAACGGAAGTCAAATGACATCGATCCCCCTTTTCCCCTTCGCACCACTCTCTCCCCCCCCCCCCCCCCCCACCACCACCACCAAAAAAAACCCCAAAAAACCCCAGAAGACTAAGAAAACAAAATGAACTTACGCCTTGTTCACAAGGTTGGTAGATAGGGGTGACGGAGACAGAGTGAATTGTTTGGGAGCCTTTCCTTCTTCGAAAGACCGTGGGAGAAGGGGGAGGACTCAAGACGGAGGGCACAGTTTTTCCCAATACGGACCGACCCTAGGCTGGTGAATAACATTTTATTTCTTTTCCCTTAAACTTAACCAAATTCTTTCCAAAGAACCCGAAAGATTTAGGGCTGTAATTACAACAAGATCTTCCATAAACCTAAAAATATTTGAGCGAGTAAATGGTGGTTAAAATAGAGGTAATGCAAATTAAAGAAAGAAACTTCACCGAAGTCTGTTTTTCATTTTTCGTCCTCCCTCTTCTCCCAGGGTCTTTCGAAGAAGGAAAGGCTCCCAAACAATGCACTCTGTCTCCGGATCTCTCACATGATTGGCTGACTCAAAAGAATAATGATGTCATGATTCTAATCTTTGATCAACAGGAAGAATATGATGCTAATTTGCCGATCAGCAACGGTATTCGGAAACATTAAAGCTACACGAGAATTTACCCATCTATAGATTATCATGAATCATTTTATTAGTATGGTTATAAGTATTTTTATTATTTACATGTATCATCATCGTCATTATTGCAATTGTTATTGTCATTCTCGCCATTTCTATCCCAACAGAACAGTGTTTACCTATCTGATAACTATCTATGTTTTTACGGAGGGTTTCTCCTCAGAATTATTCAGCGTCAAAGGTGTTTGCTCATTTGAAACGCCTTGAACGTTTCATGCCTACCAGTCTTATAAAAAATTTCATAATAAACATAAGATGCCTCAATTACTCTCGATCTGAATTTTCGAACGTGTTGGATTGAGTATCATTACGGAACAAAGTGATAATAAATTTCTAATTATAGGAACCCGTTTATTCAGAAGTCAATTGAATTCTCCAGATGGTTGCAAGCTCCTAATTTTCTTGCCCTCTTACTGGCTCGATTCGAGGTGAGGTCGTCAACATTCAAAGAGAATGACTTTTTGATTCAGAAATGCATCTTTATGCAAAGTTAACGGCACCTTCTTCCTTTTTTCGGTTTTTGTCATCGCGAAAGGAATACTTATATTTAGCGACTTTCGACTTCGTTCGGCAAGAATCTATTGTTATGAGTAATTGTTGTTGTAAATATAAGCTTCTAGAAATCCCCAGACTGCTTATTCATGTTGACATCAAGTGACGCAGTTGATGACACAGTTATTAAGTAATACTACTAAAATAGTTCTTTTGTAAGCTTCTGGTATGTTCCAGACTACTTTATGAATGTATGTGAGGACTCATTTATGTAGTAAAATGTAAAATGTTATTCACCAGCCTGGGGTCGGTCCGTATTGGGAAAAAATGTGCCCTCTTTCTTGAGTACTCAAGACAAGGGCACAGTTCCCAATACGGACCTCCCGACGGGCGAATAAATTATATACATATATATGTAGATTTTTTTCGTTCAGGGCTCCCTATGCATGCATATGTATGTGTGATTAATTTACAACAATTTTTCGAGTGAATTCATAATGCATTCATATAAGCGCTTACGAAGAGTTGCAATTTCATAAACAAGCAGTTAGCGAGAAATAAGAGAGATGGTAAGTTTTGAGCTCGGTTAAGAAATGAAGATGATTTTATTCGTCTTGTGACGAGCGTGGGACAAAGAAAACTTCTGAGTCCCCATGAGGAATCGAACTTCAGACCTTCGGATTCTGCTCTCCGATGCTCTACTACTGAGCCACAGAGACTCCATGGTGAGTGAAGTCTCTTACGAAGTTCATATGACACGCGTCCTGCATACTGTGAGGATTAACAATGTCAATAGCGTAATGTTTGTGGATAGAACTTCGTAATAGACCTCGCTCATCGAGGTGTGCGCAAGGAAACACCGGCAGATGACAATGAAGTGCGCATACCCGAGTGTCGAGCTTCAGTGTAGCGTACCGCGGGCACACAACTAGGCATTGCACGAGGGCTTCACGTGGGCTGATAGCTGTGAAGCCGCGTAAGCAAATAATTTGCAACCCGCGTTTTGAGCGCCAAATCAAACTGGTGAGGTTGAAGTTGAACAGTAATTCTCAGTATTTTACATTTTCTGATCAACTCGCAAAGCAACAATACCGGCAGAGCTAAAGCTTTGTCAACGAGAGGAAATTGTTATGATTCAAGTTTGTGGAGAGAGGGTTTTGCGTGAAAACAGGATGAAAAGAAAGAGACTGAGAGACCAAAAAAAAAACAAGAAGTAATTACGTAAAGCAAGTCGAGAAAAACGCCCAAAAAAGTTAGAGAGGACACCAAAATATGCAGAATACGGTGAAAGGAACGCGAAAGAGAACAAGAAAAGACATAAGTAAAAAGACGAATATCTAGCGAAGAGCAACGCGAGAAGGAAGTACATCCAGGTGTCCAATACCTTCAACTTTCCCTCGAAATGACTGAACATCCGAGCCATTTCTTCTTTGGTGCTGGCTATTTCCTCTAAGCATCTTTTGAGTGTGTGAACCGAATCAATGAGTTGTCTCTTTGAACAATAGGGAACAGCAGACTGCGGTTGGATATCATCGTTTAGTACACTCCACAGTGGACTGTCGATGCTTAACGCGTCTTCAACCGCAATTGTGGAGGGGTATTTACAACCCACCGTGTCAACGTTTTGTCCTGTGTACTCCTTGACCAGCCGTTTAATGGCTCCCGTTGCCTTCGTAATTTGGGCACAAAGCCGTTTTGCAATGGCTTGTCCATCTAAAGAATTAACACAGCATGAGTCAAAATGATACCGTAGAAAGCCTACACTACAATCATTTCATTACGATATGTTGGTTAGCTCTAATCGGGCGTCTTATAGACGACTGTTAGCACAGGAA